ATTTTTAATTGATATACGCTTACACCCTAAAAAGAGTATTCATTTAAAATTTGATTTTTTGAGCACATCTCTCCTTCTTTTTTGCTGGTTCTCACACAGCATGAAGGTGTAGGGCTGTCAGGTCGTTAAACTGATAAGAGTAAATTATGGCCCAGTGCTTTCTGCCATTAGAGGCCAACTGAGTAAGAGGAGAAACAATCACCTTGCTGTGTATAGAAATTACAGAGCAATATGGAATATACGACCCTCTTGAGAAAACCCTTGGGGAAGTTTTTATTTTAACTGAAACAACTTTTTATGGATCAGAGAAATGATTTAAACTTGAGTTTAGCTATATTGTTGAGATTAATACCTCAGCAATCTACCAAGAGGATTTGAACCTGCCTAGCGGGGAAACTTCAGTCACAGTGCCTCAAGTGAAGCTAAGTAGACTCCTGGACCCAGGAAACCTGTGCAGAAGGACCGGAAGGGGCAAGCGGTGAAAAGGAGGAGACTCGTAAGAGAAAAGAGCGATCTGATTCAGAGGTCTCCCCGGGTGCCCAAGCCAAAAAGATGTCCTTGCTGTCAATAGACATTCCAGAGGAACATGGAGTACCAGACCCCTTGGAAGGATTCCTGGGGGAAATTGTTTCAATTGAAACAATTATTAATGGATCAGCGGCTGAGTCACCTATGACCCCGCCAGAGAAGGAGGATGATTCTTCCAGCTCTGTGGGACAGGCTGCATCTCTACCCGCTGAGCCACTCAGATCGCAGTGGATTTCCCAGGAAAGGATGACGACTACCTGATAACTGCATGGTCAGATATCAGACGCCAGGTAGCAGCAACCCTACCTACCCCCTGCCACTGGTCCACTTCACCATCTCCAACCCGGCGACTTCGTGCTGGTCAAGGACTTCCGGAGAAAGAGCTGGAAATCCAACCATTGGCAAGGTCCCTACCAGGTGCTCCTCATCACCCAGACAGCGGTCAAGGTCACCGAGAGAGCCACGTGGGTCCACGCCAGCCACTGCAAGGTCGTAGTCACAGGCCAGGAGAGACGGTAGAAACAGACGACAACAAGTGATGTGTCCTAGTCACCAACGAAAGACGACAACAAGTACCACCAGCACCACACTGGCACCACATACACCTAATCTCACACTGCACACACAGGATGTCATGAGCGAGTGCCAGCTAAGCTGTTTCATATGCCTCTGGTTCCTCGTTTGTGCTATCATTGTGTGGGGACTCATTGACCTTGTCACAAAGTCATGAGCGATTATTGACGAGGTCTAAAAAATCCATAACAACTGTCGACCGAGTTATCTGGTTTTTCGTTTGGAGATGTCGTCCAGCGAAAAACTGCAACCCCTCCATGGTCAGGGTCAAGGATATACATCAGATAGCAACATGGATTTAGGAGTCTACAACAGATGGGCCCCTCGCCCAAGGACATTCCTGTACGGTACTATGTTTTCGGTGTTTTTTCACACCAGGTTCATCAAAAGGTCGTCCTGATTACACATACTGAAGAACTTTTCATGATATTGATGCGTGGAGTTTTACGGATGTAATATGTATGTGTTTTTACGATTTTATCTGTTGCCAGTTTGATAAACTTTGCGTTTGAAAAGAGGGTGTTGAGATCTTCATATGAAGTGAATACTTAAAACGAAAGTTAATTGAGATCATGGTATGAAGTGAATACTTAAAAAACGAAAGTTAATTATAAATCATACATGATCAATCATATTCTTGTATAAACCCATAATGAGAATGCTTCTTGACGGTTTTTGAATATGAATCTATGCTTACAATTTTTTCTGTTGCTATTTGAGAACTTTGCGTTTTGAAAAGAGGGTGTTGTGAGTTTTCATAGTATGTTTAATACTTAAAAACGAAAGTTAGTTATAATCAAATATAATCAATTATATTCTTGTATAACCCACAATGAAAATGCTTCATATTTTAGGTTTTCTATAGTTACAGTATAAACAAAACAAAGTGGGTTGTTTAGGTTGAGTTTTCTTCCTCTCCTCTGGCAGCAGTCCACAGGGAGGGGCTTCACACTAAGGGGAGAAACATTAAGAGGCCAAAGAGAGTTCATGTCCTTTTCACCCTAACATGAGAGGAGGAGTTTTGTTTTTTTGGGTTTAGTATCCAGTTTTTTTAGCATAAAGAGACTGGTTTTTTGAGAGAGCGCGAGAGAGGGGGGGTGACCCCTGGTAGACTCTCTCCGGGTAGGCTGTGTGCTTCAGAGCTGGGTTAATAGCTCTCGGTAAGGTCTTTCTAGACGGGGTAAATATCTCTCGAATTTATTGGTTGTTGGCTGAGTGGAATGATTTGATGAGAGAAAGTGTGTGAACCTTTATAAATACCGCGACCTGTGGGGAAAAATCTGGTCCCCCGAATTTTGCGGACAGGAATGGGTTTTTGAGTGTTAATCCGCCGTCTGTGTCGGAAAAAGTGTATGAACCTTTATAAATACCGCGACCTGTGGGGAAAAAATCTGGTCCCCCGAATTTTGCGGACAGGAATGGGTTTTTGAGTGTTAATCCGCCGTCTGTGTCGGAAAAAGTGTATGAAACTGATGTGAATAAATGGGTGAATGAAAAGTTGAATGCGCTTTTTATTGTCACCGGTCTTTTTACGAGGAAATACCTCTAAATTCTATCGGGATAATTTTAAAATGTCACAACTGAAATGGGCAGTTGAAATTAAAACATTTTGGTAATAAATGTAAGACTGTGAATTAAAGTTTCATTTGAACATGATCACAGCACGGGTTTTTGTTAGGATGATTATAATGTTGTGAGAGAGAAGGTAAAAACCCTGTATTAGTTTGGACCTATTTTTCTTCAAATAAACTGAATCCCACCTGTTGGATTGGGATCCTTTAAAAGACACCTGTGCTCTCCTCTCCTGCGTCAAAGGTAAGATTGCACCCTGCCACACACACTTAGGTAGGAGCACACTCCATTTACTGATATCAAAATCCTTCGGGATCGCTTAAACAGATTAAAAGAGAGTTGTCTGAATTGAAACAGCAGTTAATTGAACCTGGTTCTTCGGGGGGGTTAGGAAGAGGTGAGATCTTGCTGACGTTGGTGGATCTGAGCCACGCAGCAAACTTACATAGACTCAATAATCTTCGGAAAGGTCAATTAGGAGGTCAGAATAATTTACCGGAATAAATTATCAGGACCTCTCATACTCTAAACACTACCTAAATGACGGAGCTTCGACAACCGAGAAGGGATGTAGCCCTTTGACTACAAATGCTGTTACTGCTCTGTGAAACTCCTCCGTTTTTTCTTTGGTCAGCTTTCCTTTTATTGCCAAAGAGAACGGTGTGTTGCGGCGAGCTGTAACCGGCACTTCTGGACATGCAAGCGGCGGGTCCGGGTTGCTCGTGCTGGCTATTGATGCCATACTCGGGCTCGGAGACCGCAAGCCACTAAAGACTGTACATTCTTTAATTTCGATGCCGTGTTGTCTCAAATGTTTACTTAAATTTGAAGTGCAACCTGACAAACAAGCTATTAGCTTGCCACAGGCATTGCATTGTGCCTTGCCTTTCTCTTTCTGTGTGTAGTGGAGCCACACTTTCGAGCGTTTACCGCGATCCATCTGTGTGGTGTTATGAAGTGACTGAGCCGTGCATGCAGCATGGGGTATGTAAACAAATCAAATCACACGCTGCTGTTCCGTTGATGCGTGACGTCGTCACGTTACTACAGGTCCTTACAGATAGATACGTAGCCTTAGCCTTCGTCCGTGCAGATATGTAGGCTTTCTAAAGGGTTAGTCTACCGCGTTTAGGAACCGTTAAGCAGAACCGAAATTGTGTATTTTGTATGGGTACCCGGTACCGGGCATTTTCTTATCGGTTCTCACTTGGAACCGAGTTTCGGTTCCCAACCCTATACAGGACTGAAGGACAAGGCAAGCAACATTTTAATTTTACATGGCCAACTATGCGCCAGAGTTCCCGTTAGAATATTTCTTCGCCGGTCAACATGTCCGTTAAAGTTTAAATCTTCCAGACAAAATGAGAAAAGTGCCGGTCAAAGGTCTTTGTTATTTATTGAGCTTTAAAACAAATTGATATGATTCAATATTAAACTAATTATAGTAGATTAACTACATTATTCAAAAGTGAACAGTAACTTACAATAACACGGGAATAATAAACGGAGCGCTCTCTCCCTCTCCTGACAGCCCGTCAGTATCATGCAGCTCGCGGATAAGTAATGAGTGACCAGACAGTAAAACTAAGCATATCTATAACTAGTTACGGTAGTTTGAGAGGTCATTAAAATTGCTACGTGTGATATTCTAACCTGAAGTGTGTGTTTTGTCCGCTCACCGCTGATCATGCTGAGCTGCGTGTCGACTCGTCAGCAGCAGCTGATCTCTCTCTTCCGTCAGATTAGACTTCACTCGCGTTTATGTCCATATCGATCAGATCCAGCTAGTTCTAGCTAATGATATGACTACTTGCTTATTAAAAGACACCTAAACAATAAGTGTCGCTATGCAACTGGGTGAGGCCACAAAGTATAGCGCAGCATTATGCATTTGTTTACATGCCCACCGGAACCCCGAGGCATTACCAACAGATCAACGCACAATCAACCCATACAGGACATCTCTTTCTCCACATTACGTGTTAGACATTAGAATTGACTATTCTTGTCTGTCACATACTCTTTTGTCTGTCACATAAATGGTGCAAATTGCGCAACTGATGTGGTATTGCGCTAAACTGAAATTATTTTGAACGGACACTTTGACCGGAGAGATTTAGATTTGCCGGTCTTCAGCAAATTTTACCGGTCGTAGTCCGGTAATTACCGGCTAACGGGAACTCTGCTATGCGCATGTGTGTGTAATATTTGAGTGTGTTTTTAGGAATAGTTTATATTTGCACTAGCCTAGTCCTACTTTATCATAGTGACAGCTCTGTGTAGTAGTTCTGGTGGCTCGATCTAACATTCTTAAACCTGCCACATACCTTGTGAAATACGACCAGCTGGTCAATGGCCTGAGCTACACTGATCTTCTGGGCTTTCTTCCTTCCCGCAGGCTGGGGTGACAGGAGGTGAAGAAGGAGGAGAATGGATGCCATATCACTGTCCCACTCTGTAAGAGAACAATGATCAATTTGCTTTTGTTTACCCATCTGTATAATGTCCAACAGTTCATAGTGCATGTACAAGAAAAATACAAGACATGAAGTCTCACAACACAATAAAGTATGGAAAAAGTGAAGTGGCCTGAATACTTTCCAAACCCACTGTACCCTGGCATTCTCCAACTGTGTGGTCATACACTCCCTCCAGCCTCACAGACTTTTTACAATAGGCAATATGACATGATATGACAATGCAGTTCCTAAAACCATACCTGGTGATTCCAGTGATGGTTCATCAGCCCTTTGGTTCTTGGCAGACAACAACAAGCGCTTCAGCAAGGGTGTGGAAGTCAGCATTTCTGCCTGTTGGATGACCTTTGCTTTGAAGGAGGTTGGCCACTTTTCCAGTAGTTTGGATGGAGTTTCTGACCCAAAGAGGAGACTGAGGTCTTGGAGAATCTAAAACACATATACAGCACAAACGCAATAACCACCATCAGGTTTTCAATTTACTACTAATGCCAATTTCACAGGTAGATCATCTCCATGTAACTGAAGGTTGCTTAAAACGTCCATCAAAATAGATTTACTAATAAATAACATTCATAATAAGCAAAAGTAGGAGTAATACAATATTACCAATCCTTTAGTGTCCAGCAGGCGCGGGAATACTGAATACAGTGAGTGATGATACGTTATCGAGATAACGTATCATCACTCACTGCATGCAGTCTGTTGTCGAGGTCACACAAGATGGCTGCTTCCGCACGGAGCAGAAGAACACATGCTAGAAAGGAAAAGGAGCCACTTAGCCAACAACTTTATTACTGTACATACACTTAAATAATTTCACTTGGGGAACAAATTCAATGAAACGTAGATCACTTACGGCCCGTCCACACAGCGGCGTGCGTTGACGCTTGCCGGCGGGCGTGTCTGACACTCGACCAACAACCAATCACATGAATCTCCCGCCCCTGACACACAAGCAGCGGTTTTATTGGCTAGAGCTTGTACTGGCATATGATTCGATTGGCTGACGCTTCTGCCGAGGCGTCAAAAGTTGAACATTGCTCAACTTTTGCAGCGAGCCAGGCCAGCAACGCTCCGCGTCGCTTCCCACGATGCAGTTCGGCTAAAAATGACGTCACCCCATTCAAAGTGAATGGGCAGAAGCGTTGGAAGCTTCAATGCACGCCCCGTCCACACAGCGGCTTTGGAAAAAGCTTGCCGGCGGGCGTGTCTAAAGCTCGACCAACAACCAATCACATGAATCTCCCGCCCCTGACACACAAGCAGCCGTTTGATTGGCTAGAGCTTGTACTGGCATATGATTTGATTGGCTGACGCTTCCACCGAAAGCTTCAGAAGCTTCAAAAGTTGAACATTGCTTTGAAGAAGCTTCCAACGTCGCTGTGTGGACGGGCCGTTACAGTCACGCGGTCTGTCGAGACTACACGGTCGAAACCCGCGGGGACTGATGGCTGCTTAGGTGACACTGAGATAGTGCTAGAAAGGAAATTGGAAAAAAAAGTTATTAGCGAAGTCGGCTAACTATACTGATAAGGACCGACATCAGAAACTCTTAGCTAGCTAGCTGTCGAACTAACTTTAGACATGTGCAATATGTTGGTGTTTGTAATGACATAATAGTATGTAACATAGCTAATGTTATCTAATTTGACAGCTAGCCAGCTAGCAAACTAACTAACTGGCTAGCTAACTAGCCGGCTAGCTAACTAGCCAGCTAGCTAACGTTTAGCAAGCAGGTGCACGGCCAGTACAGACAAATATTCTTAGCAAGCTAGTAAACATTATTAGCTACCACACACACAACTGTAACATTATTTTAAAATTAAGGCGAGACACGGCAGGCAAAAACATCGTTTTTCAAGTACAGGTCAATTTTGAGATTTTGTGCTATTTTGATTCCATAACATGTTTTCTTTCAGGGTTTTGGAAGGAAAACGTACAAAATACACATTTAAGTGTTTATTTTACTATAGTTTGTCTATTTGCGTCTGTAGATTTCTCCTAAATTCACCAAAAGTTAGCATTCTAATGTAACATAAAGTACCGCGACCGCTGTGTGCACCATGTCAACAGAGGTATCGCTGGAAAGCTGTGTCTCTCCTGCACAATCTCATCAGATCCAAATATGGTCATTTCCTTTGTATCAGCAACCAATCGTGAAAGCACAAAGGGGTCTTAAACCAATAAACAAAATCTCATTGGCTGGTGTCAATTTATGACAATGTGATTCGTTCAGATGCGTCACGTGGTGTGCTAAAACACTTCCTGGTTAGCTTTCAGCTAGAAATTGAAATCTCAAAATGCAAAAAGAACGGCGAAAAAAACGTTCACAGAGAAGACGACAACAATTGTCACTTGCACAAAGCAAGGTTATAAAAAAAAAAATGACCCTGAACATGAAATACCTTCACGGAGTGCGTCGATGCGCAAGCTGTCATCCAAAGAACAGGAGGGTTTAGCTAGCGCCTCACTGCAATCTTTAAAGGTCGTTTTCTCAAAATGAGTTTTTTCTCCTACTCTGAGTTCGAAATTTCAACTTCAGTAGCACGTACATACACCAAACCTTCCAGTTATATTCCTATCAATATTATGAAGGCTTTTACAGAAGGGTTTGTCCATATATCATTCATAGCCTGAATTATACAACATTATATACCTAAAAACATGGCGAAAATGGATATTTTAGGGCTGTTGACAGTATTTTCTGATTTATGGAGTGATAAAAAGAGATATCCAATATCCCTTCTGTAAAAGCCTTAGATACTAATATGACTACAAAATGAAACAAGAATTTTGAATCTGGCTATATCCAAAATTCAGATTTCGATTCCTGAAATGTGTTAAAATATGTGCATATTTAATGAGATAATGGATAATTTGCATATTTAAACATGCTATTTCAGAAACTTGTAATACAAAAGACAATTGCCTTATTGTGAGTAATTAACTGGAGAAATTTCTAGCTGATACCTTTAAGTTAAAAAAATTACCCTATTCACCTGGGGTGTCTCGCCTTAAGTAATGTTAGATAACTGGGGAACAAATTAAATGTAACGTTATCTAGATAACTTACCGTCACTCACTGACTGCAGTCTGTCGAGGGCGAGGCCAAGCGATCACACTTGCTGCAAGACGGACTGATGGCTGCTTCCGTTAGACTGAGACTTGACGGAGAAAATGCTAGAAAAGAAAAAGGCGGCAATTATCGAACAACTTTTTTACGGACACTAGAGCTTGTTAGCTCGCTGTCGAACTAACGATAGACATGTGCAATACATTGGTCTTCGTAATGATTACATATTATGTTACTCTAACGTTAATTCGACATCCATATTTAATTCGACAGTTAGTTTAGCAAGCAAGCATTGACTGTATGGTCTGTGCACCTGCACCTGGTCATGACAGTCAAATAGTAATAATTAGCAAGATAGTAATGAAAACAATACATTTACAATTACGCTACCTACCACACACAACTGTATTTTCAAGCAAAATTAATGTAAGCTATCTGGGGAACAAATTATGAAACGTAGCAATAACTTACCGTCACGGACTGCGGTCTCTCGAGACTGATGATTGCATCAAAAAGATGGCGGAGATCTAAATAATTTCACGCACATCACGTAAAAGTACCCGGATTGAGAGAACACACTATCCGTCGTTAAATATGTTTAACACCATGATCCAACCCTGTACTATATAGTGTGTTAACAACAGGCGGTGTTAATCATGTTAAATGTAACACCAAAACCACAACACTTTACCCCGAAAAGCTCGAACACCAGGATTTTCACACTGGCGAATTTGCTGCACCTTCGATTCACGGTTTGAAAACGTAGCATTTCGCCACATGCTAATAATAACCGGAAATGAAGAATATTCAGAATAAAAGTGTTAGTAGTTAGTGTGAACTTCCGGGTTTTTCAGAATAAAACTGATTTAAATTAAATAGTGTATTTAATTCAAATTACGCCAAATCCACATTGATTTTAATTTCTAACACTATACAGATATTTGATTTGTGCACTGCGACCTGTTTAGCTTAATGATGTTTATTTAATTTCCCCTTTTTCCTTTATGAGTATTTTCTGTTAGTTATAATAGTTTTATTTTGAAAGAGTAGTTTTATTATTGATCCAATAGTAGGTGTTAAGGCAACGTCCGGATGCCAATTGTTCTTAAAACCAAAAAGAAGAAATCCTTCCCGCTTTTATTTCGACGTCCTCAAACCGCACCGGAAGTGAAGTTCCCAGCTCTTTCTAACCTGGATCGAGGTGGCGTCTCATCGCCACGGTTCTCTCTCTGTGTTCCTGAGAAAGTGTGTGCGAGCTCCAGCTCTACTGATCCATCATATCTGTGTTTGGATAAACCTCTGAATGGACTCTGTGCTCTTTTTTCTCGAGCGTTTACCTCGGACTATAGGAGCTAGTTTAGCATGCTAGCTGGAAACACGTTAGCAACGCTAGTCAGATTGAGAGTTTGACGGAGAGAGAAACGGTGTGGTTAACGGAGTCTGCAGGAAAAGGTGATCTAGGAAACATGAGTAAAGTCCAAATGCTGCTGTCGTTGAAGAAGCAGCGACTCACTGCTGACGAGATATTTGCTCTGTTTGAAAACACGATAGCAGAGCTCGAGGAGGAGCTGTTTCTTTCCAAAGAGGAGAACAAGAGACTCCAGAAACTTCTGGACGATGTTTTACAGCCTCAACTTCGGATCCACAGAGCAGGTATGTTCCCTTTACCCTTAATTAACACTTTAAACTCTTCAGTAGCACTTTATTATCACATTAATAACACTGTAATGACCACGATATCTATTTGTTTTTTGTCCTTTGTTTGTGATTCACTCGTGGGGCTGACTGACGAATAGACGCTTGTAGTTTGAGAGAAAAAATATAAATGTCCAGATGCGATTGAAATGTAAGATGGTTTATTCCAAAAAAGGCAAAAATAAATAAACGTTTTTAAACAAACTATTTGTCCTATAAACTGATATTTAAATGTTAAAGGCAGAAGAACCAAGCTGTGACGCTCCCAACCAGCAAGGTTTGCTTCAGTCAGCCGCACCAGTAGCACCTCTCCTTTTATGCTGCAGCAGCTCCACCTGCAGAGTAACACACTCAAATTAAATAATAAATAATATACACCACAGAATCTCAGGTTATGTACTGTAACAAGATAAAATAATCTAATCTATGGAAATGGCTCCTACAAACACTTTAGACCCTTTATCAGCACTAAAAGTAAAAGTGCAAACACCACACTGTGAAAATCCTCCATTACAAGTTAAAGCATTTCATATCTTTAAGTTTATCTTATTTAAGTAAAAGTATGTAAGTATTATTAGACACATGTACTTTATTATAATCATTAAAATGTATTACGGAAGAGCAAACCTACCAAAATAAAATATTTATAAACATACATGGATTGAATAATATGCCATTTAATGTACTGATTTAAATATTACCCATACATGTAGGCACTAGTTGGTTACATGTGACATACATTGATACTTTAGTTTTAATGGCTTCTTTATTCACCTTTTATTTTTAAATGTGTAAAAGCAAATAAAAACAAATACTTTGGATTAATTGAAATGGCTCGAGAATAATTCATAAAGAAATCAATCAATAAATATGTTCAATAATAAATTAAACGCATCTAAAATGTTACTTGGTAAATAATAGGGGAACTAGTACAAAGGTAATTAAGTAATTAAAACGTTGATATAAATGAATGTAAAATCTCATCAATCAATTATTGCCAACATGTATTTATAATATATTCTGTATATATATATATATATATACATATATATATATATATATATATACATATATATATATATATATATATATATATATATATACACACAGAATATATATTTTGAGAGAGATATGCACTAGTATTAGACGCAGTCAAAAGTGTGGATACATCTTCTCATTCGAAGTTTTTTATTTATTTAAATTGGTTCTGCTTTGTAGATTTATACTGAAGACATCAAAACTATAAAATAACACTAACTAGAATTATCTAGTAAACAAAGAAGTGTTAAAAAATCCAGAATATGATTTATATTTTGCTGGCTACTGCAGAATGCTGTGGTAGCCATGCTGGTTAAGGGTGCCTTGAATTCTGAATAAATCACCAACAGTGACACCAGCAAAGCCCCCCACCATCTCACCTCCTCCTCCATGCTTAACGGTGGGGACCACTCATGCAGAAACCATCCGCTCACCTTCTCTGCGTCTTACAAAGACACAGAAGTTGTTACCACAAATCTCTAATTTGACCCATCAGACCAAAGTACAGATTTCCACTGGCCTAATGTCCAATCCTTGTGTTTCTTGGCCCAAACTATTCTCTTCTTCTTGTTGTTCATCCTCAGTAGTGGATCTTTGCAGCAATTGGACCATGAAGGCCTAATTCACGCAGTCTGAACAGTGCATGTTAAAGGTCCCATGTCCTGCTTTTCCTGTTATTACCCGTCCCCTTGTGTGTTATGTAGCTTTTTCTGCAAACGGTCTGCAGAGTCACAAACCCTCAAAGTACACCCAGTAGAGAGTAAAACTCTAACACAGAAAAGATGTGTCTATTGTTACGACCCGCCCTCTACTCCGTGGTAGTGAATCGTGGAGAGACCTGCAACATAAAACAATACACGCAAAAACCAGTACTTGATAACGATCATTTATTGAAGTACAGCCGTTTACTAACACAAGCAATCCGGCATACGCAAGGAGGTCTGGAGGACCGGAGGGGAGCACGTAACATCTATGCTGCCCCAGAACGCCTCGTTGGAGATTTTTCTTTTTCTATATTCTCCTTCCGGGGCATACTGACGTAACGAAGTCCAAATGGACAAATCCGCCGAGCTCCGCACTAGGGATGCCAGAAACTGACCATGATCAAATTGGAAATTCGACCGCCCTGGCGAATATTAATCGATTATTAATATATTAAAAAAAACTTGCATTTTACTTCATTTGCACTTGTCAGTTCGAAGTAATTCCACGAGGAACTCTTCTTTGAACGTACTGCTTTGTTCATCCTTAGTTGTGTTGTTCTCACTGTTCTGTATATCGCCAATAAATCAATTGCACGTGTGACTGAGAGGGGAGGGGGGGGGGGGGTCGGTGTGTAGCTGCGCAGAGTGTAGCAGTCTGCACTCTGCGCAGCCTGCGCTGCTGGCTTCCTCCAAGTTTACAGTAAAACAAACTGGTGGTGTGACCAATGGCCATTTACAATTATTACTATTAGTCTATATTTTTGGTTGAAACTAAGCCAGAAAAAAAAGAAAAACACAAATAATAATAAAAATATATATACATAAAATCGAATTTTTTTAAAATAATTTTCGCTTATGAAGACTGTAACGAATATTCGAAAAATCGAATAATCACTGGCATCCCTACTCCACACACACACACACACACTCACTGAAACTTATATTTTCTCAGCCGTGGTGCTGTCTCGCAGACCCCACGCAGCAACCAGGGAACGACACCAGTAATCCAGCTCACACTGTCTGCTCCTTGAGCCTCAAAGGGCGGAGCAGCGAGGCCCGCAACGTCCCCTCAACACGGCATCCAGACTTCACGCAGAATTCTCACCTGTTTGTCCTTACTGGTGTCATTTTCTGGTTGCTAACAAACGCCATTGTAAAACATAATCACTGATGTTCCGCTGTAACGGTGGTGGACTCATAAAAACAGAATGAACTGGTATTTATGAATCATTTGTTTAGAAACTAAATATATGTGGTATTGGTAAATGATATGTGTTTCAATATAGCTATTTTCGATGTGTTTTTCATCACTAAAAGCGCTTTACAATCTTGGTTCACGCTTGAGACATACTGTACCCTCTGCAAAATCCCTTACGGTGATGTAGTCTTTTATTTATTACATGTACAGCACTTTGGCCCGACCAAAAATCGCTTTTAAATGTGCAAAACAGAGTGGGCGAGCATACCAATCAGAGCACAGTGGGCTCATAGGGAGGGGGGGGCAGGAGCTCCAACAAGCCGTTTAGGACATAGAGTGAATACACATACTATACAGAGATGCTGTATGAGAAACCAATGTGAGTTTGGGACATTGAACAATGTAAATCTATTCTAATAGACCTCAACAATGGAATTATGATCAGTAGAAATGGCCATGACACGGGACCTTTAAGATTGTCTGCTCCTTGAGCTCTGTGATCATCTATGTGGGCTCTAATCTGAGGTGCTTTAATTTGTGGTTTCTGAGGCTGGTAACTCTGATGTATTGATCCTCTGAGCAGAGGTAACTCTTGCTCTTCCTTTCCCGGGGGGGTCCTCATGAGAGCCAGCCTCATCATAGCATTCAATGGTTTTTGCGATTGCACTTGAGGATACATTCAAAATTCTTGACATTTTCCGGATCGACTGGCTTTCATTTCTTAAAGTGATGATGGACGGACGGTCGTTTCTCTTTACTGGGTTGAGTCTTCTTGCCATGATATGGATTACAACAGCAGTCAAATAGGGCTTTCCACTGTGCACTAACTCTACCTCTGCACAACACAACTGATGGTCTCAAACACATTAAGAAGGCAAGTTATTCCACACATTGACTCTTGACAAGGCGCACGTGTTAATTGAAAACCATTCCAGGTGTCTACCTCATGAAGCTGACTGAGAGAAGCCACGAATCATATTCTTGATTTTTTAACACTTTTTTGTTAACTAGATAATTCCATATGTGTTCTTTCATAGTGTTGATGTCTTCAGTATTAATCTACAAAGTAGAAACAAATTAAAATAAACACAAACCATTGAATGAGAAGGTGTCCAAACT